TCTACTTGCGCTTTTTGGAGACCTGTCTTTTGGGGACCCTTTTTTTCCCCCTCTACTTGCGCTTTTTGGAGACCTGTCTTATGCAACTCAGACACGCTCCATCGTCCTCACTCCCCACATTGCGCACTGCCTCTATTTTCCTTTCTTTTTTGCCTTTTTTTTTTAACAAAAGAATTCCTGTAATCTGGGTAACAGTCCCAGCATTTTGCGGGTTGAGATGTTGAGGAATTCCTGGCCTCATTGATTACATAAATATAAAATGGCAGCTTCTTTTAATATAAAGTCCTAGGCTACCAGAGTGGCCCGGGGTCACTTGCCCGGCCGGGCCAAAAAGATTTWAAAAAWAATAATAATAAATATATATTTTAAATTGTTATTTTATATTTTAAATTTGGTAAAGAATTTTGATGTGACCCTGAGGCAAAAGTTGTTCAGTTTATTTTTCTGCATAACATAGTTTTTTTTTCGGATTTTTTGGATTTTTGTTTTTTTTGCTGGGACCCTCCTTTGTCCTTGCACGGGCTGGCCACCCGGGACCCGGGTGGCCCGGCTGGTAGCCTAAATTAAAGTCCTCTTTTTGTTGAACTTTATCATCAGAAAAGGAAATCTTGTCATGCGGTTGCAAACTCGTAATGCCTTGTCTAATTTGTTTTTTGGGTATTACGTTGTAATATGTTGATGATGCAGGACCCTCCGATTATTCACAGGGATATTAAACCTAGCAACATTCTCCTGGATGACAACATGATTGCAAAGCTTGGTGATTTTGGCATATCGAGAATGYTAGACGACCCTGCCGAGTCAGCGGTCTTCACAAGGGTTGCAGGGACACTGGGCTATTTRGATCCTATGTATCATGAGACCAGGAGCCTTACGGATAAGAGTGATGTCTTCAGCTTTGGTGTTGTTCTGCTCGAGTTGGTCAGTGGGAAAGACCCCTCAGGAAGGCGGGGCCCTCTTCCAGGAACGACCATGGTTGAATGGGTGAGTGAAATTGTGATGAAACAAACTACCATGCCATTCCACTCCTGATGGATGATTCTCTCTCTCTCTCTCTCTCTCTCTCTCTCTCTCTCTCTCTCTCTCTCTCTCTCTCTCTCTCTC